AGTGAAAGTGGTAATTAATTACGTTAATTACGAATTACGTATTTACGGTAATTAGCTAATTACCATATCATGTATAATTGGGACTTCAAGTTAAATTAATTCAGGATAATTTTCCAAATTCGTTAGTATATGAAAAGGAAACAAGAATTCCGGGAAAAATTATATTTGGAGAATATGTAAATTTCCTTTTCAAACTAAAAAATAAAGGGGGAATTATTGGACAAGTATCAAAAAGAGTTCTAAATACTTTATGGGGAGCATTGTGCCAAAGAAATAAATCTTACTATGATGTTAGTGAAGGCATGGTAGATTTATTCAAAAACCCGGAAGGAGAAATTTTAGATAGTATAATTCCAGTAGGAGATAAACATTGGACTTTACAATTTTCAAACCCTGGAAATTTATTTAAAGGTGAGTATCCCCGAATTGCTCCATTTATTCTAGCACAGGGACGAAAAATAATATCTAGTCAAATTAAGCCTTATAAAGATAAAGTAAGACGGGTTCATACAGATGGATTTATTCTAGAAGAAGATCCTACAAAGCCACCATCTATTAATTGTCTAGAAAATGCTTCAAAAATTTTAAAAACGCTCAAATTTGAAAAAGAAAGCAAATGCCATGTTAAAAACGCTAATCAAGTTACGTGGTACGAATGTTAGAAATTTTTACATTACTGCGCCGTTATTAATTATTATCTATGTGTATGGCAACGTCCGGTTGAACTACGGGTAAATTTGTTACACGATTCGATTTTACATGGGTTACCAGGCCCTTTATTTTTTCTATTCCAATGTTCATAACATCCCTCTATTCGTCTACAATTATTATTGCAAATAGAACCATCGAGTTTAACATATGGGCATGAGTAGTAAATTATATCATACAATGAAAGGTCCTCTTCGATTGCGCCACCTGCTATTAATATTTCAAGATGTATTTCCCATCCTTCCGGTGTACTGCCCCAGGAGCCATCTTCGTCGGCAATAGCTTCATCAAGTAGTTCGAGATTTTTTAATCTTTTTATTATATTAATCATTTTATGTATATTTATGCGCAATGTATATTCAATTTGTAGTCAAACCTTGTTATAACGAAATGTAATCAATTAAATACGTGCTATAACGAACTTTTAAACATTTTGGCTCCGCATATAAAATCCGATTAGTATTAGTAATAACGTCTAAAATCAGTTACAACGAGGGTCCGCTATAACGAGGGATAACGATAAATTTTTTTTTGTATGATCGTCCATAGAAAATTAATCATTTTTATTATGATTGCCCATACGCGCATTTTTACACCTATTATTATGATTTCCACATACACGCAATATAAAAACGTAATATGAATAGTATTTTCCAGAATGTGTAGTAGTAGTATATAAAGAGGTTGGAAACATCGGAGAACTCCAAAAAAAATTATATCAAAAGCTTTTGAAAAAATGATAGAAAATCATAATCGATCATATGATATTGAATATATCAAATTATGGTTATTAGAGCTTATCAACAATTCGTCTAGTTCCAGTAAAGAAATACAATTTTATAAGTTTCTGAAAATGAATACTTTGAAATAAACGAAACTTTTACAAACTTCTATAATAGTTATGCGGATAGTGTAGATAATCCTCTCAGTAAAAATCAAGTTTCAAGAGCATTTACAGCTTTAGGTTTAAAAACATTAATAACAAGAGAAAAGCATAATGGCAAGTGGAGATCTTTAGTGATAGTTCGTGCATCAAAAGATGAATTATCAGAAATATTCCAAAAAAACGGAATTTGAGCCTTCAGAAATTTAATCTTTTAATTATTGGGAATCATTCAATTCTTTGATCCCAACATGATGTATTTTCTGATCTATATGGCCATTTGAAAGAAGCCAGGTAAGTATTTTACATCCCTCTATATATCTTTTTTCATCCAATGGCCTTGAATCCAAAAGATCTTTATAATGAAGAAAATATGAATTTTTATCTGGACGGGATTTATCAACTTGAGGTATAGAAATTTCATTATTCTGTAATAGCTTTACTCTCTCTTTGATTTTTTGAGCAAAATCGTGCCATCCAGCACCAAGTTCTTTATTTTTTACCCCAAAAGCTTCTCAATATACTAATCTGGCCCACATATTGCTATTTTTAGCAATTACATTATTAGCCAATAATTTTTTACGTTCAGGTGGTAAAGGAAAATTTCCAGCAAACTCTACAATGCAATTTTCTTTTTTAGCTTGTGTTATTGCTTCTTTACCTGCAATGCTAAATTTACTCTGGGATAACTCATCTATAATATTAATTGATGAAGAATCAGAAATTTGAGTTTTCAATCCATCTGGGACTTCTAATGGTTTATCCCATCGAACTCTGATTGATAGTGGATCATTCTTGGACCGTCTAAGATCAAACACAATAAATTCTCGTTTTGATGTTAGATCATCTATGATTGATCCTAGATGATCTGAGTGCTCTGTATATTGACTTATAATATTTTTGAGATCAGATATGGATCCTCCTCCTCTATGAAGTGAGATATAAGTAGCATTATCCCGAATTGTTTTGTAAATGGCAAAGAATCTTTGTGCTACATATATTGGGGATATATTCCTATGGCGTCCATGAGTAAAATATTTAGCAATTTGTTCCTGTATTTTTTTAGATTCGTGCATAAGATCTTCAAATATTACAACAGTAGATCTTTCAGGATTAAATGTATCGATATCTGGAATTTCAGAAGGAGATAATGCCTTAAATGATACATCCTCAGTTTTTGCAAGATCATTAAAAAAAATCTCTAACAATATTCCATTTTGGCTCATCAGGAAATTTGGCAATTAAAATTATATCATTGCATAAAATATATCGAGAACCATTTTCTTTATCTACCTTTTTAGTACCCATTATAAGATTCAGGATCATAGTGGTTTTGCCTGAATCAGAACTTCCAGATACAACCATTCGAAATGGCGATATTGGTGCAAATTCATTTCCCTGTTTCAAAGGTTGGTATTCATCAATGTTGTACACAAAATATTCCATAGTTGCTATTAGAGTTATAGATTTATATCTTTAATTGGATCATGAATCGAAGGTTTAGTACTTCAAATTGCCCAACAGCTGAAATTGCTTGGACTAATAGAGAATTGCGCAAACAGTTGGCTGAGGATGATGAGATCATATCTAAATAATGAAACTAGAATTAAATCATTAGTGCGAGATCTTGAGCATAGCAACTTAGAAATTCATTATTTGGGTAAATCCCTAATACAACATGAAGCACAAATTGAATCTTTGAAAAAGGATAATAAAAATCTATCAATTCAACTCCGGAAGGCTTTACAGGATATAGAGTCTAAAGAAAAATTTATCGTTTTTAGAGAAGAACAATTTATAGCATTAGAAGATAAAATTTCAACACTTAATAAGAAGCCAAAAATGTCTTCTCAATGCCAAATACAGCCACCTAGTCCAAATGAGATTGATGTAAGTACTGATAGAATTAATTCTGCATGCAGAAGTCTTGATGAGTTCATACAAAGGCCGGATAATTCTACTCTAAACCAGAGGACTGCAGTAAATAAGCTTAATGAAATTACTACATTTACACATAGGCTCCGAGATATTGCTAAATGGAATGATGATCAATTAGCGCCACTTCAGGCCCAATTACAGCAAAATCTTCAGGCATTCAATCAGGTGAATAATCAGCTTGCACAGGCCCAGAATGATCTTAATCAACTTCATCAGGATTTTCTTCAGCTTAATGTCGCTCATACTCAGCTTAATAATACTCATGAAGCACAAATTGAATCTTTGAAAAAGGATAATAAAAATCTATCAATTCAACTCCGGAAGGCTTTACAGGATATAGAGTCTAAAGAAAAATTTATCGTTTTTAGAGAAGAACAATTTATAGCATTAGAAGATAAAATTTCAACACTTAATAAGAAGCCAAAAATGTCTTCTCAATGCCAAATACAGCCACCTAGTCCAAATGAGATTGATGTAAGTACTGATAGAATTAATTCTGCATGCAGAAGTCTTGATGAGTTCATACAAAGGCCGGATAATTCTACTCTAAACCAGAGGACTGCAGTAAATAAGCTTAATGAAATTACTACATTTACACATAGGCTCCGAGATATTGCTAAATGGAATGATGATCAATTAGCGCCACTTCAGGCCCAATTACAGCAAAATCTTCAGGCATTCAATCAGGTGAATAATCAGCTTGCACAGGCCCAGAATGATCTTAATCAACTTCATCAGGATTTTCTTCAGCTTAATGTCGCTCATGCTCAGCTTAATAATACTCATATTCAATTTGTTAATGCTCGGGATCAATTTATTAATAATATCCACAATCCACTTGTCCAGGCCTATAACTACCATAATGGACGATTACAAATGTTCCAACAAAAACACATAAAATGGAAACAAAGAGCCAAAAACCCTGTTGGGCAATTACAAATATTCCAACAAAAATATGTAAAATGGAAACAAAGAGCCAGAAATCCTGATGTTATTTGGCTCGTAGGCTTTTCAAATTGAAGCCTTGATATTCATATTAAAATCAACATGGCTGGAGTTTCAGTAGCAATACCTAATTTTTCAGGCGGTATGGATGAGGATATTAATACTTTTGTCAGGAGATTTCATGGGTTTCTAGATAGTATTAATATTAATGTAAGAGAAAACACACAAAGAGTTCAAGCTACAGGTCTATTCCGAAGTGCTTTGTCTGGACCTGCTGGTGATTGGTATGATGAAGAAATACTCAGAAAAAAATTGGATGTTAACTAATATATATGACAATACTACTGTAAATACTACAGCAAATCTTCAAGCTAGAACTATGGCGCAGATGAATACTTCTAATAGTTTTAGACTGCATTCTTTGGCACATGCCTTTGCACATCGTCCTGGAAATAATGCAATTACAGTAGGGGCTGTAGAGGCTAGAATGGTCCCACCAAAAGCTTTTGCAGAAGATTGGACTAATTCTGGTGGAGAGCCTACAGATGATGCACCTAGATTTGCTGGAAATAGTGGTGCTGTTCCTATAATATTAGTTGGAATTCAGCTCGGTCAAGCTATTTACTACTTTGAAAACTTCTATCCTTCAGTATTAGAAGAAAGATGCAAAGTACAATTTGGTACTCTTGATCAAGGTAATGATCCGGTTAAAACTTTCTATGAAAAAGTTAAAAAATATGGCAAACTACTGAATTTTGGCGATGAAGTAGTTAATCATCAATTCTTTAGGGGGCTATCTCCAGACAATCAACTTGAAGTGGAACAAATTGGGGCTGAAAAAACTGTAAGTGAATTAGTTAAAAATTTAGAAAAAGTTGAAAAACGAAAATCTGAAATGAGATTGGGCCTATCCAAGAGAACAGGAGGTACTGACCATCAAGCTCAAATACAGCCTACATCAGCAGGATCACATAAGCCAAGTCATTCTGGATTTTCGCCAGAAGATGTGGATAGAATGATCAAAAGTGCTACTGAAAAAATTACACAAAATTTTCAGTTACAGATTCAGGAATTACAAGCAAAAATTCCAAAAGTTCCATATCAAAAAAATATTGAGACAGAAATTCCTACTAAAACAATAACAGTCCTAGATCATTTTAAAAAACCAGTCCAAACAAATCTTACTGTTGAGGAATGGAATAAAATGTTTAATTCTGATCCAACTGAATTTCATGAAGAACAATTGCGTAAATCTCAATATATAAAGCCAATCTCTGACACTAATAGAATAGCAAATAGAATTGCTGAAAGGCTTGAGCAAAGAAGACTTGATAAGGAAATTGCAGACCTTTCCAGTGGAATTTATTCTCTTAATATTAATGATCCTGTTCCTGATCCTATGGATACTACTAATTTGATTCATGAAATTGCTACTGATGATGATGAATATACTCTCCAATTAGTTCAAAAAAAAAAGTAATGGAAAACAAACCTCCTACTAAGACTAAGGATGGGAAAAAAGAGTCAAAGAGTAAGGGGATATCAATTGATACCACAAATTTGAGAAAGATTATTCATGAATTAATTATAGAGGAATTGACTCATTTGGGATTAACTAAGAAAACTACAAGCAAAGAAATTCAGAAGTTTAGTGAAGCTTATTCTGATGGTTCTATGGATATCGATCTTTTGCATTTAGATAATAAAAAAGATTTAGCATCTGTTGAAGGTGTAGTAGAGGAAAATTAAAACCCCAATTCTTATAGATTCATGTTGCAATAAGTCTGTTATGCCTGAAGAGATTTATAAAGAACTTGGATTAATACTTG